AATTTGCACATTTTGATTGGTGCATTTGGCGGCTGCCTTAATTCTGATTGGATGCACTGAGTGGCCATCTGGAAATTCCACTGTGACAATTTCGGCCATGCAAATTGTGGGTACCCGGCCCAATGCCTCAGTCACCGAGTAGGCGGTATTAAAACTGCCAAATTTAGGTAGGCATTTAATTAAACTACTAAAAGAAACAAATTAGTACACGTTTTATCATGTCTTTTTTTTACATATTTTGATTTTTGCAACTATCCAAAAAGTGTAAATTTGGATTCAAACGATCTGATTCCTCGGATCCATAATTTTTGACCATCAGAATCGATAGCTTGTTTAATCATACTCCGGCCGGAGATAATGGATATTGATTAGAGTTTATTATTTTTTTATTGATTGACTGTTTATTTATAAAAACTGCGTTAAAACTCCGCAGGCAACAACGTCTACATGATGACAATGATGATAACGATGATTTTTTTAATCGTTTTGTGCCTGAAATGACCAAACTTCTTTGTTGCGAAATTTTGTGGCTTTTTACTGCAATTTTTAAATTTTGAACTCGCAAAAGCGCCCTAATTTTGCGTTTGGCGTAGGCACCATTCCTCTCCACTGGCACTTCGGATAACTGTTTTTTTAATTGTCGTGTTAACGATTTAAATAATTTTTGGAAAGAAATTTGAAGCACCTAATGACTGTCTAGATGGCTGCGTGGGTGTATTACTCAATCGCTTTAAAATTTGCAAACGTCGTGAAACCTTTACTTCCGTTTATAGTTATTTTTCTAATGCTTGTAGCCGGTTTTTTATCAATATTTGACAGCTTAAGACGATAATAAAAAAAGTTGTATTGGCAACACGGTTTATTTATTTTCATTTAATTTTGGACCCTCAATATTGAAACCAATTTAAAAGTCAAAATTTGCAAGAAATACACGATTTTTTCAACTTTTTTTTGTTTTTCAAACGATTGCGTCAAATTTCATTCCCGTTGCAGAAAAAAATGCTTTTATTAATATTCTGTGACAATTAAAACATGGCCGGCGACTGTTCTTTAAGCCTCTAATTAAACGCTATTTTTCCCAAATCCCCGAACTAACTTGGAAAAATTCACTGTATATTTATGATTGTCACAAATAATTTAATCAATCAAATTTATTTTCTTGATGCAAGCCATCTTGTTGCAATTTTAGGCAAGACACAATGTAATGTAACTGAGTCCTTGCAGTCTAACAACCAATTATTGTGCATTCGTTGAACGTTCATTAAATCGATATTACATTAACCAATCACATTAGGATTTGGCGTAATGGTAACCAAGACGACGAGATCCAAATTTAGGCACAATATTTGAGACAAATTCGTTGCAGTTATTAGGTTTGCTTATGGCGCACCAAATCTTGTCCACCTTAATCTTAAAACCTGATAGCTTATCGCACCAATGAGAAATCGAATTTGCTATAAATTGGCGGAGTTAAATGCTATTGGCTCGTGCAGAGATCTAAGGGAAATTTATGGTGAAGCATCGTTCTAAACTTGGTAACACTCGTCGCAATGGTTAATCGCCGTTTCCAGTGCGTTAAATTCTCAAGAAGACATATCTTGCGTTTACTTGATCGCAGATATTTTTTTAAAATGTCAAAATATTTCAAAATGGGATCGATATTGAATGTGGCAATAACTACCCATTCAATATCAGTACATCGATGATAATATTGGTCATGCGTAATGTTTTAAAAAAATTCCTAATTGTATTAAATTAACTCGAATGAGGCCTTTCTTATTTTCAAAGTAATGATTTGCTACCAATTAAATCGCCTACCATTTGTTATGTTATGTTAACAAACTTCGTTAGTTACACCTGTATAACTGGGCTAATTGTGTCCCGTGACAATATGGTATTGCGGATTTATACTTGAACTTATAGTTACAAAAATCATTAAAAAAAGATTTGAGTGTCTAGACTTAGTGCAGTACTTTAAACACAAAAAATTTGTCACACTGTGAGGTAAAATCTAATTGGTTTGTTGGTGTACTTGAAGGAATAAAACAGCTTGTCGGTAAGTTTGCAAAAGTGGGCGTTAAAATGTATTTTCTACGATAACATATACATTTGTTATAAATTGACGTTGAGTTATGAGTGGCGCTGAAGAAGGCTGGGAAGTAAGCTTTGTTTAAATTTACGATTTTGTTGTTTTTTTGAAATGATATTTCATGAAGTAAATTTTTAAATGTCATCAAAACAAAACATCATAAACAGGGAACACTGAACGCCCTTTTTTAATCAATTAATTTTGTGATTAATTTAATTTGCCGCTCCAAACACACCCTTTTTAAATGGAATTCAATAAGTTGATTGGCTTGATGCTTCAGTACGGAAATGTTTTTAAAAGCGCGGCGCAGTACAAAATCTGAAGGTTCAAACAAAATTTGAAAAATATTTAAAATACGCCCCACATCCTAGTTCTTTGTTTAACTGCATCAATGTAATGTAATTTGCGTACTGTAGTTGCACAGTCTGATTGGGCTTAGTTTTGTGATTAAATTTGGCGGTGATCAGTGGATCCCGCGCGGTATTCAAACAATTCACAAATCAAATCTAGTTGCACTTTATTGTGACGCCCATTTAAATAACTTTTGTTAATTGAATATTTAAAGCGTTTTTAAGGCTCAAATTGCCTACTTCGGGATAAAAGTATTGTTTGAATACAACAAAATTCCCAGACGGTCGAGAACACGCGAAATTGCATGATAAAAAAATACGTTTTATCTGTAATTTTACGACACAAATCCACCGCTTGATTTTATCATCAGAGTTCAGACACATTTCACGACCGAAATTTACACAGCCACAGATCTTAATGAGCTTCATTCAATTTTCGTGTACAAACCATGGAATTTGTATTAAAAATTTTACAATTATTTTCAATTTTTACCCATCTAACGTCGTGCTTGCACAAATCTTTGATTAAAAGAGTCAATTTCGGTGACATTTTCCACAAATGCCTCTTTCCCATTGGTGAGATTTGGAAATTTCCATAACAACAGATCACTCCTCGATAACCCCTAACGAAGCAGAACTCCAGCCTGCTCTCCTGGAAACTCAAATTGCTAACCTGTCCGAATTCAAGGCCGCGCTGTTATATGTCAGTTTAAAACAAAATCCCTAGATACAACCAAATCACATTTTAAATGAGTTTTTGGTACTCCGAAACGGTAGAATTAATTTTTTTTTAAAACTGATAAAACACGGTCACGTTAAAAGTGTGTGAGGATTAGTTTTCGAAAAGGAGCGCGGCGTTATCTCAATTTTGTATCTTATAATCCCAGTCGCTGAAATAGATACTTGCTTGTGCCTACCGCGCTACGCGCCCGACCCACCCATTTTACTCACAAATTTACGCGGGAATTTAAAACAATCCGTCTTGTTTGTTTTAATTTTGCAGTCAAATAATTATTACGCTCTGTTTCCACGTAAGCCATTTAGTCTTTTTCGTTGCGAACATTTCATAATGTGATCGATATTGAATAAAGACAACGTCCTCGAGTGCCAAGGTCGTTCGGTCTGACCTTGAAATCGATCGTTCGTCAAAGTGTCGTAGCTTTACCCCGCTTTGAAGTTTAAACTGTATAAGATTCCAAAATGGTTTGGTCCACAACAGTTTGTAAACGGCGATACATCTAAAGCTTCAATTAGAATGTGGCGACCAGCAAGCCAGCACAGTTAACATTCGTAAGCGAACACAAATCAATCGATTTTTTTACCGTGAATTTACTGTAGTGGACAGACAACCACCGCGCGTGAGTGCCGCGTGTATGCTCGCCCGATCGTATCAATGACTCACCCTCTTTCTGATTGGTTGCTGTTAGCAGTCGCCTGTTACGACGCGTGCGTATCGATCCGCACACAGAAATTAGCCACTCGATTTTACTCTAATTGACTGGACTGGCATGACGCGCATAAACGGTCGTGTTCCCTTTCAACTCTGCTTTCCCTCTCTCTCCACGGATTGTGACCGGCTGTTATCTATTGGGTTTTGTGGTAGTGCTAATTTAGGCCCCTACAGAAAAAAATAATTAAGATCAGTTTGGGAAAGTCACGTGTGAAACCACTAACTTTATACTTATTGCTGAAGCAAGTTAGTGTAAAAATTTCGCACTGGCAAAAATCGATTAGCTATTGATCAGTTGTCGGCCCACACATTACCAAGGCTCCTTGCAGCCGGAAACATTTGATGCACGCCAAACCGACATTTTACTGGCACTTGTAAGCGATGCCACTAAAGAAAACACCGTTTTTTTGTGTTGTTGATGCTTTCGCTTACTTCTTCTCAGCTTCCGGGTATGTGGTTTGAAGTGGGTTCACCTTTGAAAAATGCATCGTGGCCATGGTACTTCAATTTGGCAGAGCACCCAAAATTCTGGCAGAACTAACGCACAAAATGCTGTATCAGAGGTATTTAATTTACCCAAACTAAGTTAAAAATTAAAGCTGCTTACAACGAAGCGGAATTCGCCTTTGTCTTGTTTGGGCTTAAATATGTGTGAATAGATTTGCTTTTTCGTAACGTTCTAATGCCTTTCAAACGATTTGGATAAAATGTCGGCAGATTTGAATCAAAGCGATTGGTTTAAACTGAAATTTGTTCATTAAAATCTTGAAATTTGTCTTTCGCAGACACACAAGACTGTGTGAATCACTCACAAAAGGGATTTTACTCAAAGGAAACTCCGAGGTTGCTTGAGTCATGTTTTTTTCCTCGAGGTGGTAAAATCTTTTCGATTAAATTCCAGGAGTTTAACTAATTTTTAATCTCCCAAGTTGGCTTATTGATCGTAGTCACTGTGGCGCTGACTACGTTTACTTTAAGAGCGCATTTAAACAAGCTGCTTAAAAATCGATATCCGATTAAATTTTAACGCTTTTTGTCTGCTTCGCTAACTTCTTACTAATCGATTATTGATTTTTTTAACGCAGAAAATCGTTATTTGTGAATAAAAAGAATGGAAATACCCCAGTCAGGGACAGAGGATTGTTTGCTAAAGCTTGGGGACTCAGAAAGAGAGTTGGACTCGATCCCTGATCCCCAATCGAATGCGGTTTCCCCTCCAAAGCCACCTTACCCAGTCCATCTTGCAAAAAACTGCCTTCCGCAAGAGGCAGGATCGAGATCTCTGCAGGAACAAAGCACCCCGGTGCTCAAAATCCTTTCCAACTGCAGCACTCAGGACTTTGACTCACCCGATATGAGCATCACTAGAAAGACCTCGGCAGTGGACTTTATCAGCTACAAGCACAGTCGCGCGGTGGCCCACGATCCCTCTGCCAACTACTGTCTCCGTCTGTGCTGTCGCAGTTGGCTGGGACTGCTCAAATTGCTCATCGCGTTCCGCGCCATTCTGGCTCGATTTGTGTTCCTCGCGCTCACTTTAACTCTCATCGCGATGGTGGTTAAGGCGAAGAACCGGAATGTCTATTGGCTGCTGTGTTTTCTGATGCTTCCGTTGCTGGGCGACCTGTGCTACTCCATTGGGATCATGATTTCTCCACGAAAAGGGCAAGACAAGACGGAAAAGTGGTAAGTTCATTGCTTGCCAGTGGCTATTCATACGGTTGCCGTGTAAATAGCCCCTCGTTGGTAGAATCCAATAAACTCCAGTCAGTGTTAAACATGCGGTTTTATTAGCCAAAAGGTCACATCGAAGCATACAATTCCCCGGTAGATCGAATCAAGATCACGAAATGGTTGTTTTTAAAATGGGGAATGTGCTACGTCACTATGGGAAACTGGGCAACCATACAAATCTCACATAGTAAACACTGTCGCGAGGTGTGTTCCCAAGTAGAAATTTGACCCACATTTAAACCTCTTAATTCCGGCACTACTTAGTTGGGGAACTTCTTAACATCGCTCATTTTTGCGTCGAAATTTCACAAATTGACCTAGTAAAGGCACAGCTGCCCTACTGTGGTTTCAATTGGATCACTAAATTTCGCGCACGAACTATTGATTTTTTTTTGATTATAGACCAATGAGAGGTCACAATTAACACCAAGAGTGCACAGCAGTCAGAGGGAGGTTTATGCGGGAAATTAGGCCGTAATTGTTAATTTTTGACCAATTTTAACTATTTGTAGGTTCAACAAGTGTTTGTTGGCGTACCTCTTTTGCGCATGCCCGCCAATTTGGATAATCGAACTTCACCAATTACAGCAGCTGAATGAAGCCACAGACGCGATAATGCACAGTCAGGGAGTGATCAAACAAGGCGAACAGATTTTCACAAAAAACCCCTGGATCGAAGCAGGTTTCATTTACAATAAACCCGATGTAAGTTTAAACAAATTTCCTTTATTTGTGGAAGCCTGAATTTCACAGTCTTCTGCAACTCTTTTCTTTTGTTTAAATGTGGTAATTGAATGTCTAAATATTTGATTTAAACAAAATGGTTTTCTGACAACTTTCATCATTCAAATGTCTTTATGTCCTTTAACTTAACAACCAAATCCACCAACCGACATAGAGTCACCGAAAATTTGCGGATTCAACCAGTTATCCTTAGTTTACTTTCTTTCAGTGACCTTGAAAATTTCTGTCATGTGTTTAAGTGTATAACGTATGAAAAAATGCCAATGCCATGAACCAAGCTAGGATTTACTCTATCAAAATTTAAAAACTCATTTGATTAAAACAAATAATTTATAACTTTTCTGGCCGCAGTGAAATTGTCAACTTTGTGTAATTTTGTGATTGGTCACAGAGAAATTTTTTTTATTTGCAAGCAAATAATTTCGGCTATAGAGGCCATGATGTCATATTTAAATGGCTCTTGAACTCTTTTGACAGCTTCATTGGTTAATTTCGTGACTCTTTGCAATAAATACCTCCAAAGTCATCAACTAATAGTAATGAATTGTTGCCAGTTTAATTTAAAATGGAAATTTCAAGCCAAATCTGTCTAGTGTTGCATTTTTCCTATCATGCCTTTATGCCCAATGAACACATCATTAAATATTTATTGGTTGATTTCTATAATTAACTGAGGTTAAATGTCCTCGTTAAAGCTAATTGGATGGTTTATAATGGTGCCGTAAAACTGGCCAATTGAGAGAAAGTAACATACTCCTAAGTGTTGGCATTAAAATAATCATTTCTTCAGTGCTGAAAGCAGACTAAACTACCTACGTTATGTGATGTGTCTGATTTTTCTTGCCACCTAAATTGCTCATGTACACCACGCTAGTTTTTTTCGGATGTGCCCAATGAAAGACAAGGTTTTTTTAAATTTATTTTTCGAGAAAATCAGTAAAAAAATAATTGGTGAATTGTTTCATTTCATAAAATGAATGGATCGGTTCATATTAATACCATAGTCTAAAATGCTCTGTTTATTGATTGTTGTGGAATTTACTATTTAAATTTTACTAATTATGCAAAATTAGACGCGACTTTAATTGCCTACGCGGTGCAATCTATCGATTAACGTATTTTTGCTGTATTTAATCATTACATACAACAGCGGTTTCCTGATGGCTATTGTAAAAATCGATAAATTTTTTTCTCTGAAATTGCCATGTTATCACCGCAGTTTAGAATGGATCGATTTAACAGATCGATACTTTTTTTACGCACAGACATATGCATTAATTTGTTCTTTGATCTTATCTAAAGTTAACATAATTTCAGTTTCTTGACTGTTCTTTGAATGAACGCAATTGGCTCGATTTTAGGAAAATCTTGTAATAATGGGTGAAGACGTGGAAAGCTACCTAACTTCAGCTGCCTTGCGTGAAAAAAATATCACCGTGGAATTTACGCCACACCTTCTAACACGCGTGAGACGTTCGGCAGACGAGGTAAGTTTCATTTGACCGTGTCAGGCAAGTTTTGGCGGTTGCAGAGAATGCACCAATCAAAAAATGGGCTTCTAATTACTACCCCATCCAACCAATTAAAACCCGCTATTCTAATACCTACTATTACTGCATCTTCTATCATCAGAAAATCGATATTTCAGCACATGATACAATACTGTTTGGTCACGCCTGTTCACATGCAAGTTAACCAATCATGACAGACTTAGAGCAATCCAATAAATGACCACGTTTTTGTATATTTATTGCGATAATCTATGAAGGCGGGTGATTTACTTTGTGGTCTACAAATGGGTTGAGGCCAGTTATTTTTTATTACCAATTCCAGTAACTGATCCAATAATGAATAATAATACTTAAATGCGAACGCATTCCATGAAGTAGCAAAATGCCAAACCACCTTAATTCATGCGTTTTTTGCATTTAAGGCATCGGTGCGATTTCCGACGCAAGAGGAGAGTCTCATTCAGGTTAGAAAGCTGATTTTTAATTGTTAATGCTATTCAGAGAGCACCAGCTGCTTCGTACTGGTAAAAATCAATATTTTTGAATTGAATTAGCCTACCGTGGAGCGATGCAATGTAAACAAAATTTTGACCAATCACATTTTCGGCCATTTTACGTATCCAATCGAAAACATCCCTAGGCAGTGTTTTTGTGTTCGACTTCGTAACTCTGTTATTCATTTTCTCAATTTAAGGAATTCACCCATTTAAATGGCATCAATTTTAATCTGTATACATCATTGGATGACTGTTTTAAAAGTAAATATACAGAAACACTAATGATTTTGGGTCAAAAATCCTATTTATTTGGATGGTAAGAATGATTTAATTATTTACATCCTTTGTTTGTGGTGTTTTAATCAAAAATTTATTACGTATGAACTTCAAGGTCAAACTGATGCTCAAAATACTGGAGGCGCCATCATAAATGCAAGTGGCATTTATCTAAGACCAGTAGGTTTGCCAAAATAAATCGTTTTGAGTCGAATGCTGGCGTTCCCCCTTTTAGGCAGTGACTCTTCAACATTACCCACTCAAAATGCGTGTTCGAATAATGGAACAACTACTGCTGCTTTCAGTGATCGTTGGTCGTTGGCTGCTTCCGCGTTTCGGCATCAGCCGTGACCAGCTCTCACAACTCCTGCTTATAAACATTGGCAACGCCGCCGACATCCTGGAGCTCTTTGAAGCCTTCAACGAGGAGGCCGTGCGGTCAAACGCCTCGCTCAACATCTGCATCCTGTGCCTGTGGCAGGCGTCGCTGTTGCAGTTCTGCTTCAACAAGACGGCGACCTTGGAGTGCAAGAGCCAGGCCCTTCGATCGATGTCTCGAAGCAGTACCATCAATGAACTCCTTAACATCACCGCCCAGGTACCTTCGGACAAGCTGGATGATGGTCTTCGACGTAGCATCCGACGCAACACCGACTACGATGTCATCACCCAACTACGCATTCTTGAAGAACAGTCCCAGTCCTCAAAACACGAAGGTTCGTGTTGCGGATGCCTTCGAGGGAAGCCGTGTGGGCGGCAGGGCATGTCCGTTTGTGGAAGGATCTGGTTCGGCACGGAGTTGTGGGCAATTTTCATGTCGCTCATCCTCCAAGATTTGCCGTTCCTTGCGCTACGTTTAACCCTGGTTATGCACTTCAACGTTAGGAGCTATTCCAACATCTTTTTCACCTGTAAAAACTCCCTTCTCATTCTGCTCCAGGTATTTCGCTCGACTGTAATCCTCGGTGAATTCCGTCGGCAGTGGAACAATCCGAACGCCGACATTCCAATGATTCTTGTCTCCTGACAATACAGTATGCACACTTCGCAAACGATGCTTCCGGCTGCAACGAAATCGATTCTCGCAGGAAAAATTATTTCAAATCCAAAAAAAATATTTTAAAAAATAAGAAATTTTGGATTTTGTCACACTGGCAACTTCTTGGTTAGGTAGTAGCCCGAAAAATGCCTTGCCTTTTTTGGGAGAACAAGTGACGGTGGTTGCTTTTCCATGCCGAAACAAGCAAAATTTATGTCTGCACAAGTCACACCGAAAATGTCCAAATTGAGAGCTTTTTTGGACAAATGTACGGACACAGTTGTTATCGTATTTGCCCTAATGCAATCAAGTAATTGCTTTCTCGTCACCTCATCACTTTACTGCGCCTGTTTAAGTGTGGTTATTCACTATCGATTTTTGTTGACATTTATGCAATGGGGCTCATAAATGCAATGCTATTTGCAGCTAGGCAGACGCACCAATCAAATTTGCATCATCACGGTGAACGCGGCTACAACGAAGCTGTCTGATTCGTCGAATGGATTGGTTTTTGCTGCTTTTGCCTAATCATTCCTGAACCACTTGAAAATCGTTACACGCCTTAATCACAGCGTAAAATATCCAAAGAGACGTTCCATTTAGAGCCACTTTCCATCTCTGATGTTACACAGAACATTTATCGTGTCTTTTAATTAGGCGAATTGGGTGAAACTAGTTACCGCGTGCGATCGGCCGTCTTCATTCACCTCCTAAAGTGGAGTTTTTTTGTTTTAATGAGCACTCGAATCATTGACTTTTTTAAACTTAACTGCCCTCGCAATGTAGGATTACATTTTCCAGGCTGGATTTGACTGGCAAGAGTTAAAGAGCATTCGGCCAATGAAATCTTGTTGAAAATGAGGTAGTTTTAAAAAATGGGGCCACAAAATCTGCACAAATATTGTTGATTCACAGCTTGTTTTTATGTGAATGCGTGCGTGTGTGTGTGTGTACAAATAATGGTTTTAACCGTGATACAAGCTCACAGGAAGCAATTCATGTTACCCTAGTTAGACAGGAAATATTAGGTCATATTTGCCGTCCAAATAAATGTCCGGAAGTAATGGGAGGGCCCAATAATTGTCTAACTGCAAAGCTTTTGGATGTTGACCGGCAAAACGGCAATTTCCAGGCTGCAGCTCTGCCAATTCTCCATCGTGCCGCCGGGTCGTCACAGTAACAATGTCGACCTCATTAAAACACACTAACCAATAGCATCATCGAGCACATCACGGTTCTACGTGGAGCCAAATTGGACCTCGTGAATTTGAGGTTTGTCGATTATATTCTTCTGTTACAAAAAAAAGGAGTTTTAATGGCCGTTGTGATTCGAAAACGACTCTTAAAGCAATCCAAAAGGGGCTGTTGCATATCTTGCGACACTAGACTATTTTCGGGAGCCTTAATTCGACTTTGAACTTCTTCTACTCTTGGAGAAATAAGTAGCATCGTGTTTTTAAAGCAAAATTGGTTTTGTACGCGAATGCGTTCCAAGTTGCAATGGCAACATACGAAAGTGGCATTTATGGATTGTTGCCTTTGGGCAAATAGAAATAGTCTAAATTTGCCATAAGAATTGTCCAATCCAAGTGGATAAATCTGATGAGACATTTTTTAATCACGGGAGTAACAGCCAATGAAATTTCTACAGTGTAAGAATAGGTTAAAACACAATTTCGGTGATTTAGCAACTCCATTTCCGTTTTTTTACAAACACGATTGAGTGGTTGTGTTGGTGCTAAATACAATCGTGCAATACAAATTGACTGCATCATCTAGACAGCGTCTAGCTCTCTAATTCTAAATTCGGGGAAAATTTTCATGAGCTTATGGGATTTTAATTCAACTATAATTGTGTCACCCACAACGAAGAAGGTTATGATAAAACTCCGAGTTTCGATGACTGGATGTGCGTCTAACGCTGTTGCCCACCGAGAAATCAACAAAATTTTTATCAGAAATCGATGAAACAGGTAGATGCTACATGGCTGTTTTTAAAGTGCACCTTAAATGGCTTCCAAAGGAACACGATTGGATCATTAACTTCTGACTTCAGATATTGGTCAAGTTTTGTTCGCAATCGACCGTGATCGTCGAGGTATGCTGCCTCTCCAGGAATGCCGCGACTATGGTGTTTATAAATTATTGAAAAACAGCAGGAGCCGTCTTGACTCCGAAGGGTATCGGAATAGACCACGATGGGTATTGATGGTCAGCAGTGAGCGGGACTCTGAAGCGACTTCTAGTTGTAGACAGGCGTCGGCCAGATGGACTTTGGCAAAGTATCTCCGCCACCCAGAATTGGGAATAGGTCTGTTGTCGTCGGGGTCGCCAATTGTTGTGGGTCCCACGGAATTAACCCTGGTCCGATTACGTGTCCCTGATACCCGCGATGAAGAAGAAGACCGGAGAGGACGGGACACAACCGTTTACTTCAGAGTCCAACCACGTTGGTGTCGTTGTGTCGTGTGTGGGGTTTCCGGTGTGCATTTATAGATCGGGTGTGTGTCATACATGCGCTAACATCGAGACCTAGGTGTGAGGTTAATCCAAGATACGTTTACGTATGCTTTAAGAGGAGAGTTGAGGATTTGCGCGGCTGTCGCCGTGCTCCGAGAAGGGTAGTCTTGTATCGGAGGCGAAGCGATCGGATTAAGTAGTTGAATAAACACGATTCACAACAGGTCCACTGGTAGAGGATAATGATGTGGTTCTAGCGCTGCGTTTAGACCAGTAGAGGAGTCAGCAGATATCCGGATCGAACTATTTGCCTTCTCTACCACAACGATTGGGGCCGCATTGACATTGGGAACACAGCGGCCCCCAGCTTGGACCATTCTGGAGTCCTGCAGTACGAGCATTAGTGTAGGTGTTAATCGGGGATCTCGTCTTGCGTCACAGAATGACTTTGATAAGTCAGGTGCAGCAGCCGCGCAATTGGTCGGTCCCTTAGTCACCCATCTCATCTGCGTCGCCAGATTTGTTGTGTTTGTCAGTACCCAAGAAAAATCCAGATCCCCTGTCTGCTGCTTGAACCGACCATCTCACGCTAATGCAAGACAAGGCAAAACGTCAAAAGTGACTTCATTAGGCTGACCCTGAACGGACTTCGTTATGGTACATGCTTTGTCGTTGAAATATGGAGTACAGATTTTGGCTGCCTACGTGAATCGGGAAGTAATTATGTAATGTAGCAGCTATGTGTGTAGGTCACATGGCCAATAACTGACAAAATATTGCATATGCCACTGCTACAAACTATTTCTCTTCCCCAGACCACCAATCTTAAAAGAATTTAGCTAAAGTTAATGGCCTGTGCAAATTTATAATGCAAAGAAATTATGGTGTAATTATCTCAATCTCAGTTAAGTCGCTTAATATAGCACCAAGGAATAGAGTAGAACAGTTTTGGAAAAAACAATACAAGTTGCCATATTTTCTAGTTTTTTTTTCAATTGACATGCTAATAAGTTTTTTCATATATTGCTTGACTTTTTTTCATAACAGTGGCTAGATTTGGAATGCAATGGATTACATAATCTGGCGTTTAGACTTTTTTCATGCTACTGATTTGCGCGCTGGTGCAGTTGATTTGTAACAGACTTCATCTGTGACATAAATTAATTTGATTTTGTCTTCCAGTAGTCAAGTATATCTTGATTTAGGAATCACGGAATTTAATGCAAAAGGTCAAATTGTGTCGTGCTCATGGCCGCATTTGAGATTAATCAAAATTGTCATACATGAGCATAATATATAGGCCATTTTGACTGTGGACTTTCAAATGCTTTTTTGTAGAAGTTCCCTCAATTATCAAATAATATTTGTGATTAGCCTTTGCAATAAATCTGAAATGCAAAAGACATATGAGTACGCGTAGTATAATAAGCCAAAATTGCTTTTTTTTAATTAACTATATCCGAAAATGAACAGCTGAAAAGTGAAAAAAATTCAATTTACCTGCAAATAGCACCTTATAAAATTTTAATTTAAAATGAGACATATGCCCTTTTAATCACTAAAGTGTGCCCTTACTAACAGGGCTAACTTTTTTTCCATTTAAATTTGTAAATTTTTTTTAAAAGTAATTTTTTCGCCTTTCCTGAAATTTATTTTCCATGGAGTTCTGGAAGGTTCCGGAACTACCAGCTTGCAAAACTATTCCGTTTAAGACGTTTTACAAATTTCTTGCTCTAAGTTAAAGTACTTTGATTACTCTCTAGAATTTCCTTTGGGAGGAAAAGTTAAACAATTTCCCAATTATTAAGTTGGCTTTTTCAAATATGTGTGCAATAATCATTGTTTCTACTTTTTTAAATATAGGTTATTTTAAAATAACATTTAAACTAAGAATGCATAATCCAAAGAAGGCAACAAAAAATTTAATCAGGCGTTTCACGAAGGTAATTTTAAAGCGGTAATTTAAACCTGTCCCTGTGCGAAGGACTTTTATCTGATTGGGTAATTATGTGCTCTTAGATTGTCTGTGCAGGTGTTTGTAAATCCTTTACCTCCTAAGAGGATTACTGATTGCATTATTATACCATAGTAATATTTAATATCGTGCTTTAATATAAATTTACAATACATGCTTAAGACCATTTTTAAGCATCACATTAAAATTAATCGTTGAGCACATCTTGGCAAACGAATGTTTTGTCTTGTGGTGACCTTTAAACCACGAGCCCTGTAGTTTTATCGGCAGCAACCATCTCCCCTTACCTTTCTATATCTCATAATTGCAATGCTAAATTGTTTTTGCTGTAGTATGTGCCTTAGAATTTGTTATTTTTGCTAGGCTGGTGTATTCATGTATATCGTTTCTGCACCCCTCGTGTATGTGTTTTTTTATAATTACAGTTATGACAAAAGCGGTGACATTCTCATTTAACAAGGTCTACAATGGTGTTGTAACAGTTAGCTGTGAAGAGTCTATTGATGTCCCAATCTGTCAGCCGTTTAATTGGCTGCTATCAAGACTTCTTCTCTCCCACAACATTCCAAAGTTTGCTGAAAAAGGTGCGTTAACTCTGTGAGTTTGGTGTGCGCTAAGCGTGATTATCTTCGCCCTGAATCAAGCCAATCTGTGTTACATGCTGGACTACTTTTAATTTCCTGGTTAGGCACACTGATTGGTGCAATTAATTCACTATTAATAGTTTTTAGTGGCCTATCTCGTCTTCTTGTTATTGTCGCAGTCATAGTATTTTAGCAACTTGAAAATTTATTTTGAAAACTGGAAATTGTGACCGCAACTTCTTAGCTCACTTCGTATATTGTTTTTTCTGTCTATTCTAATCCTTAAACTGGAATCGTAAATCCGTTTAGACTTCTCCGATGACCTCAAAAACTTTGTTATGGAGCAAGAAAAACGCTGTGTCGATGAGCGATTGACTCGTCTGTATGATAACCTCACATCAGATGACTCCAAGCCATCGCAGATTGCAGCCTCTATAACGGCACGAGTTAATGAGGTAGGTAATTGGTTTTCCCAGCCTGTAGTAAATTTCTCCTAATCAAATTTGCACATTTTACTAGCACCTGTGGCATTTTTATTCTTCTAAACCTCTGGTAACTATGGATTTGTTCCCGTTAGCGCGTCTGCGATCGGTTCCAAGCTGAACCTCCTACAGACGAGGAAATTTTTGGCCAGACTTACACAAAAATTGTTCAATCGCCTGCCGCAATGGATCTCATTCAACTGGAGCAGTCTTTCGCCATAGCCGTGGAGACAGAAGTTGCCGAGAGAAATCGCGTTTTGCGAGGTCTCCAAGACAGGTAACCTTTAAAAACATCACCTACTGAAAACATTTACGTAGTCGTGGCATTAACCATTTCTTCACCAAGCATCGTCAGTCGGACTGAAGCGCTTCTCTCGAAAGACAACGAGGTGATACCAGTCGCCGACGCCGTCTCGGAACTTCAGCGTCAATTCCACTCCGAATATGAGGTACAGAGGATGACGTGGAATAGCCGGATCAGCGATTTGAAGGAGACCCAGCGTCAGGACTACCGAAACTTCGTCATGTCTGTCGAAGAACAACTTCTGCAGGCGAGCCTGGAAAAGTCGAAGCCGTCAGTCACGGAGTGAGCGCTGCATGCTAATTTTTGTCTGTTCTGGTTGTTAAATTTCCTGATTGTGTTTCTTCCATATCAGGAGCCCAGTTAAATCTGTCGATCGTAACCAGGCCACTGGTTTGAGAACTACGGCGCCTCACGCCGATTCCGCAGAACCACGCTCTGAAAGCTTCATGATACAACTGGGGCGTCAGCTTAGAACGTTTTACAATTTGAAGCTGGTTCAAGCCGACCCGATGGATCTTATGACGACAGTCGTGCCCACCGCCACCTCCAGTAACCACCTGAGGTATTCGTTTTCGAAACGCTAAATTACTTTGTACTTAAAACCAATTGAGTAGAGTTTATGTAATCTCTGTTTACAGCGTGGACGTGACCATCAACTTGGCGGAACGCCTAAGCAGCGCGCTTGCTGTCTACTCCCATGAATTAACCGGATTAGTCATCGTTGCGGATAGTCAAATGTTCCACTCGACGGATCAACAGCGTAAGCGCAATTTCAGTTCTCCATTCCACGTCTAACATTGGTTCGTATTTCGTGGTGATTATTTTTGTAGGTTTCGCGGAAGTTTGTGAACGTTCAACCGACTTCCACTTTCCCGAACTCGATTTGCAAATGGCGGCGATTCAAGAGACCATGGATAAACACGGTAGGTTTGTAAATGCAGTCTACTTACAATAATTAAGTACGCATTTTAAATGCGTTTTGGTCTAAGTGCACTTGAACCCTACTTCAGATGATTCCACAGAAAATCCTACCAGCAGTCGACGTCGCCGTCCAAAATTTGGCGATGTATACCTCACACGACACTCAAACCTTCGAGCCAGTGCCATTGGTGGAAATGCTGGAGGCGGTGGCGGTGTCCAGGTGGTCTTCCACGTCGTCGTAGACGGCGATCAGTCGTGTGCCGCCGCAGACGATAAAGCACCACCTGCTGGTCGTTTTCCAGCCTACCTAAGTGCGGCTCTCTCCGCTGTACTGCGCGCTTGTTTCCAGTACGACATTACCACCCTCTCTATACCCCTCCTACTAACTCGGCGGATTACTGATGTAAGCTGCCTCTTATTCGTCCGTTCATTCGGAACTCTGCGTTGATTGGTGCACTCATTTTGTCCTTACGTGCGTGCGTAGTGCACACCACATCTTATCGATTTTTCACGTCTTCAATTCCACGTCGCGTATGGCCTCAAATCTTCTCTAACCTACTGATTTTAGACGAAAACAGTGACCCAAATATTAAACAGGATGGATGCATAGGTGAAGTTGTGACGATTTCGGGTCGTTATGGTGCCTGGATCTGGTTTTGTTTAAATGCTGTAAGGTCGCGTTTGCCGACCAATCAGCGCGTTTCCTCATCCCTTCCAGAATATGACCTTGGCCTGGTGCCACCGTCGCGCCGAGGGTGTTCTGAGGGCTGTGAAGGGCGCACTCATGGAGCTGGCAAGCCTCCGAGGTGGCAGCCAGGTCCTGCGAACCCTCATCTTCCTCATTCCGCCCGACCTGCCGCCAAAGTTTTTCGACTCCTTCTCCGGCCTCGTCAATGCCTCCTTCCAACAGGCCAATCCCATCGTTCCCACACCAGCCTCCTAGGCCCCTTTCCCCTTTTTTTATCCCCTACTTTTTCACATTTTCTGATCTCATTTCTAACCAGTTAAGTGCTCCCTCAGCAGTCTTACTCGCCTCTTCGCGAACGATACTACACTAGGTTTGTGCGTGATCCCGTGCCTATGCTCATAATCGCCTCCTCAACCACATCACCAATCACGTGACGACCTTGCGAAGAAGCAATTCGGCGCCTGTTTTAAACCCACACCGTCAATGCACGTCTTTCGGGAACGCCTCAAGCGTTTATCGACTAACAGGCTCCTCCGCTAGCCTGTGCGTGGTCAGGCACACCCCTACATCGATCGCGTTTCCGATAATGCAAGTCAAATGCTCAAAGCGACTGGCGTTAGGTTATGCGTGTATAATGTATGTGTGGGCCATCACAGGGTGCGAGCAGAGGCTGTTACTGACACAGCACAACTCTGGCAGTGAACTGGTTGAGGGGTGGATGCGTTGTTCCTTCTTTATTTTTCTGCTGACGCTGTTGTTGATAGTTAGACGATCACAGATGGATGGCGGGGGGAATGGTGTGGGGAGGAAGAAGAAAAAAAAGTATGTCGTCAGAGAAGAGCAAGTAATGTTGGCGGTAAATGATCAGATCAATTTTTGGGCTCATCGAACGCTGTGTAGGCGAGTCTCCCTGCGTGTGTGTGTGTGCGTGTGTGGCGGTGAGGAGGGTCAGGGGGAGATGTTTGTGCGCAGATGGTGACACTTTGTGCCGCTAACTCTCTGTATGTACACAGGGCTATCACTACGACTACTTCCACCACATCAAGACGCCGAGGTGACCTTGATGTCGGAGTCCGTGGCCACGCCGGACGTGGTGGGGTTGGTTACCGTGATCTGGATGGCCTTCGTTGGTGTGGAGGCGCCTGCCAGCGAAATCCCCAGCTGGTGCAGAAGGTCCGGTGTGGAGAGGATCGCGGCGGCTGCCGCGGTGGCAGCCGACGTGCCGTTGTCCTTGTCAAGCTTCAGACCCGCGGTAACCGGGGGCAGTCCTATCTGACTGTTCACCCAGCTCTCACCGCCAGGCGTCTTGATCTTCGCTGCCACCGACGGAGACCAGAGCTGCGCCGCCAGCGACGTTGCCGAGTCCAGCGTCGGCGTGTCGAGCTTGGCTGAGGTCACCAGCGGCAGGGTGTTGGGACGTTGGGCAGGAACGAAGGCCACGGGGGTCTGACTGGGACCCTCTTGTTTAATTGGCGGTGGAGCTGGGGCGATTTGGGGCGAGGAATTGGTCGGTTGTATTATCCGAATACTTGGCGTAGAACAGCAGGCCCCCGGGGTCGTGGAACCAGTCAGTCGTAAGAGGAGAGTTCCATTCTGGAAGTACTGTGCCGCAGTTGGACAACCGTTGTGCTTTAAGGGACAGACCAAACCCACTTATAGTGCGCACTTTTTGATTGGTCGAAAACTGACCAATCACATCGAAAATAGTAAGCTAATCGATTTCTCGGGGCGATTTAGGTGACTTACAGCGTGCTTCTTCAGCAGCTCTTCGAGTTGGGCCTTTTCGTGGAGCAGATTCTGGATCAGCTGACGCGTCTGTGTGCCTTCGTCCTCCAGGATTTTCCGACGAGCCTTCAAGTCTTCGATTTGATTCTGCCGGTTCTGGCGGCATTTCGCTGCAGCCACTCGGTTTCGTTCGCGTCTCTTTTCCCGCCGAGCCACTTCATCGTCGGTGATCTACAGGGAAAATTTTTAGCGAATAGTTTTTTTCTTCTTTTTAACTAGTCACGTGCGTTTCCGAGAAATCGCTCGACTTGGCGTGTCAGCCACCTCCAAGGAATCGCCGCTGCTGCTGCCTGCTTTTTCAGTCTGCGCGCGCGCGCATCAGCAAATCACCTGATCGACCTTGATTTCGCCATTGAACGCCAACGGGCGGCGCACCGCACGTACGAACGCACGCGCGCGCGCCGAGTTGACTCACGAACGGCTACGACCGGGCGTGCGCTACACACACACACACGCACCGCGAATCAGCCAATAGGCGCGATGCGTACGCGGACAAAATTTGCCTGGCATAGCGTGCGTGCGTCGTGCGTGTGTAGCGGTCGTTTGCCAAACGTGCGTTCGTCAAGTTGGGATGCCTTGTTTGCAGCGAGATTAGACAATTTCGGGCCGGGGTATCAAAAATGGGTTTTTGTGCAGCGAGAGAAGTAAATTCACGATATCTGTGATTCACGAACAACTAATTATCACAACCACCTCAGTTTGGTAGACGAAACGGTTTACATAGTAGGCAAACTTACGCCCTCGTCTCTGCATCGTCTTCGGCTGTTGTCGGTCGACACGCTGCTGCTGGCAGTTGGATGCTGAACTGACCAATTCGCCTGAGCGTCCGCGGTCGGATGGTAGTGGTACGCGGTGCTGATGTTCTCCGGGTCCGGTTTGAGCGCTGGTGTCGGGGCCGCGCCTGAAGACATCGCGCCATTCGAGAGGAGCAGATTGGTCGTCGCTGCCGAGTTGTCCACATCGTCCACAGTCTCGGGGGTGATTCGGCTTCGCTTGGAGACGTCTGCGGACGCGGCGGTGTAGTGGACGGCTGCGATTGGCGGTGAGGGGCCTACACTCGCCGCTGCAGCCTGCTCGGCCTCAGCGCGGGTCGCTGCCAGCCTTTTGGGCGTCTCGCGGATCGTGGGCGATTGGCGTTGGCTCAGGTCGGGTTTGAAACCACCCAGCAGTGCCGGAGCCATCTGGGCTGTGATTGGAATCGCCACCATACCTGTCCCGGGCACTGGTTTGCCCTGGAGCACGGCCACTGCGGGGCTCGACGTGACGTTGGTCTACAGGGTCGAAGGGGTCGGTGTGTACACTCGGGCTAGTCACTGACCACGACACTAATCACCCAATCACATCAAAACACAAGCCTTTGCGTCCAAACTACCGCCTCCACCACAGAAAACATATAAATGGAATGAGAGAGCACTCCGCTTTTCTTATAAAATAAAGACAAGAATTGTATTTTACGTGGAAGAAAATGAATAGGAGGCAAAATCGCCACAGAAGGTCAACCAACCGTTATGTGGGGTGCGTGCCCTCCTAGGCTTACTTCAAGGTGCGTTAACTTCGGAGCGGCGTTCGCTAGCGCCTCCAGACACCCTGACACTGCCCCCCTATCCGCACTACACTTGCAGTGTCCTGAAGGGACTCTAACCAAGTTTGAAGCAGACGGTAAGGCGGTGGAGGGACCACGAGGGCCTTGTGCTCCAAGCGGCTTCGGTCTGATGGGCACAAGCATGACTGAGAGGCGACACCGCACAAGTGCAGTTACCAGCGGAGCTACTTAACTCTGATTGGTCGCTCGAAGTCCAATCACACGAACACACGTCGTAGTGAGTCATGTTCGCGTGTGTGTGTGTGTGTGTACGCGAGGGTGTGTTGCATACGTAGTAGGCGTAGTTTGTAGTGACACGCGCGACCATTATGAAAATCGGTGAATCATTTCGATGTTGTTATGCTAAAATGCTCGAGCTTCCGGACGCGCGTTGAGTCAAAAGCACAAACCTGGGGCTTACCGTAGCCCCAACGATGTCACGAAATTGAGAATCGCCTCGGTGACGAACAGGCGAAATTATAAACTCAAGGAACGGGCATTCATCGCCATGACAACGCATGAGTACGTGTGTGTCAAAGTTTGAGGCGATCAATTCAAGTCCGGTTAGCCAATCGCAGTGGGCATTCGGGTGATGGCAACTTATCTTCCACATGTGTTAGGTGGTTGTGTAAACAGCCAGCTGTGATGTTTGCACCAACTAAAATGCTGAAACGGGCCTGTGGAAATGTGAATTGCCGTAGCGAACACAGTATCACAAACTCTTTTAGTTTTTTTCGAGAAAATGTCAGTCCAAACACACGCACACTAAATTTGCAACCAATGCCGCATTCGCCTGTTACACATTTAACGCAAACCTCATCACAAGACATGTGAAGGCGTGCACACAACTTCAGATACGGAATCGTCCAACTGTTTACCTACTCCAGTCACACATTTACCAGCCTCATCAATTGACCTTTGTTCAGTGTGTACAAAAAAATGCAGGAGTCTAATTTTCCGCATCACCTACTTATTTAGCATTTAAGTAGCTGTGCAATCAGTATTTCACAGAAAACAAAACAACGCCGGTTGGTATCGAAAACCATACGAGAGCTGTTTTTACCAAATAGGCTGACTTAATTTGACATGCTTATTCGCGGTAGTCATCGCAAATTAAAATCGTAATTAGTTAAACTAATTAAGTTGACGTCTAACAAGCCCACGTAAATACCGCATCTGTGGAAGATCAATGATTGGCTGAAAAATTGGGGCATTTCATTGGCTGAGACAATAACGTGCAAATATCAATCCAACTGAGCACTAAATAAGCGATCACCAGGGCACTGATGGTGGTGGTATTTCTGGACAAACTAATGAACCCAGTTTTACGTTGTTGTCGACTTTAAGAAACTCTACGTGCCTCAATTCGCAAGCCAATTAAATTGTGGAGATTTGGTTTGTAATGCGGTCACTTTAAGAGGCACATAACGTCGACTGACTGCATATAACGGTGCGATTTGCTGCGAACTGATTTGTTCCTCTTGTTAAGAGGCTTCATTAAAGGTTGTCAATAAGAGGATCTTGCAGACAAACTCACACGTTTGAATTTCGCTTCAGTTTGACTTGACTGACTACAAATAACGGTACTAACTTGTCGAAACGGTGATTTATCCACAAGTCCACAGCGGAAATTGACTTATTCGGACTACAAATAACGGGCCAGTTGGTCGGTAACTGCTTCGAATCAAGTGTCAAACGCCTTGACTAGGGGTAGTCAATATAAACACGCATATTTTACACACAAACAGATGAATCCGATTGTGGATGTGTGCGCAACAGTAACCAGAATGTAAACAAACCGTGGTTTAAAATGCGTTACCTGGATAATTACATTGAGGGGGACACGTGGACGCGCTCTCTGGTTATGTACACATCTTTAAGTTAAACACGCTAGCTAGTAACGAGGCTGTAGGGTCGCGGAAACACGTAGCCTGTAAACGAACACGTGAGTAGTGCGTGTAGCGTGAGCTAGAGAGAGCAGCAGATGGTTTGCAGAAGGAAAGACCGATTACCTCAACAGAGGTGACGCAAGGCCTACCCTTTTGTCGTGCCTAACAAACCATCTACCACGCCCTCTACCGCTTACCAGCGTTGCTATGGCAAATCACCATGACAACTGCAAGACAGTGAATCACTTGGGCCTGAGGTCATGGGCGTGTTCTATCTTTCTTTCGGTTGGTCCACATTTCTTTGTCGAAACGACGTGGCATCTAGGTGTTAGCTATTGAGATTCGTTTTGTTTTCACTTCTGGAACTAACTGATGATGGCGTCGGCATCACCAAGCGCGTCTAGAGCTCTCTTTGAGATAGCTGGCACTCCAGGCGTGGAAAAATGCGGAAAAGCGGAAAAGAGCCTACTCCACTGCGAACCCTTATGAAGTAGCAACCAATAAAAGCGTATTGAACGAATCAACAAGCATTATCCAATAAGATTGTTCGAAATTCTCAAACACAGAGTAGGATTCGTCAATTTTTGCAGAAGTCTTAAATTAGCCTTCCATCAACACAAATGCATTTATCCGTGTTATATAAAAGCCTGTGGTGGCTAGTTCGCAATTGAGGAAAAACAAATTGTAAAAAAAAGAGCCATTTGAGAAAATGTCGTTAAACAAAAACCACCAGATGAAACAAGCGTGGGAGTCATGTGTGCAGTTTGCTTTCTACTCAAACGTGACCTTCGCCTACGCATAATCCTGGCTTCGGGAACTCCACGTTTAAGTTGGCAATCGCAAATCAATATCGGGAATTTTTTCTGCCCCAAGGGATGCTAGAGGGTGGAATTTTCGTACTAAAATCGATTTCTATTAATGACGAAATCTAACACTTGAAAACAGATAATGCGAAGCACACAATTTACAGTTTGTGTCAAATGAAATATATCTAACTTAGAAAGGATTAAAACAAGCAAATTGTAAATCTGCGATATCACGAGACCTACCTCTGAGTTTGTATTAGCCAATGCCGCAGCGGCTAACGTGTCTAGACCATTAAGAGGGTCCAAGCTTGGGGTAGCTAGCATGTTGTTTGGGGAGGGGATGAGGGGTTTTCGATCAAGATCCAGGGATTGTCTGAGGAGGGTGAGGTATCGGTCAGTTCCGAAGGTGTTTTGTGGCATGTCATCGTGAGGCACGTTTGGAATAGCAGTCGCCGTCTGAACCAGTGTGGAGGCATCTGGAAGGGGGACTTTTCTAGATTGCTGGACGTTCAGAGTTTGCGTCTCTGAGCCATCACCCTGACTCGTCTCGTCAAGGTACTGCTTCAGGGCTAACTGGAGGTTGGTTCGACTGCTAGGAGGTAGAACCCTCAACAAATCTAGCCACTGCTGTCGACTGAACTCAGAATTGCTAGTTCCTGGTGGCAGGGTTGCGGCTTTAGTGGAGGCAGATTTCGTCGTGGATGACATATCGATGTGGCAATTAAAAACAACCATTAGACGTTGACTCAGAGCGACACCGCCTCTCCACGACCATTAGGCGACGCTACCTTCGCGGTTAGTAATACGAACCCTGATGAGTTTCAACTGAAACACGTCATTACACGCAATTGTGGGGTGTGTAAATGCTGTGAGTGCGTGTGTGTGCGCGTGCGGCTGTACACGTTGGCCTTGCGCGTACACACAACGCAGCGTGACTAGAAGGCAGGTGACTCTAGCGGTGCGTTCTTTGCGCGCGCTAACCTGCGCACATCTACGCATGCGCGTGCACGTGCGCACCACACACACACACATACGCAGCCCTAGCAAAGAAGTGAGTGCTCGCGTATGATCGTGTGGTGACGGGCGTTGCCGTTGCCTTATTAGTTCTGTGCGTTATGTGCGCTCGCTCGCTCGCTCGCTCGCATGTGACGTGATCTGCGCGCGTGCGTGCACACAGGGCAATATGACTGCTAATTTTATCTGACCAATTGCCACGATGACTAGTCCTGTCTGGTTCACCAATCAACTGCAGCTTTAAGGCCATACCTATTGATCTCTGATCCGATTGGCGAAATGCAGTACGCTTAAGGCGAGGTCGATAGGCGTACGCCGCACTGCGCGTGCGCACTTGCGACGCATTGAAGGCGAATGCGCATTAATGAGTTGCGCTGACTTGTGCTGCCTCCTCGGTTGTCAACTTGCGTCGTAGACTTTGAGTCGCGCGCTGCGTTGAAGTATTTCGCAAATACTTCTTAATTCAAAAACACCTAATTTTCTTATGCCTTTACTCCACAAAAGGTTGACCATAGCATCGTGCGCCTATCTTACTCATTGCCACATTTTCTTGGCGCTTACTCCTAACTGTTTTGGTAGATTATACGGTCGATTTTTCACCGCAAACTAAAAAATCACGGAAATTCACTTAATCACAGTCGAATAAGTACGGAAATAATTGTGATAAGTGTTCTGCGAGGAAAGTTTTTACCTGGGAGTGCGTGCGTGCTTTGAACGTCGCAGAGACACAATAAAACTGCCATGTCCGGTTTTGGCTTAATTTCTCCGAGTACTAATCTAAACATCCACGGCGGCAGCAGTGCCATTCTGTAAACACAACATCATAATGCCACATATCACGACCAAGTTCTATCCGTGAAAGTTAGAGGAAGGGGGGTGAGGTGAAAGCCACAATCAACCAAAACTAAACACTCCTACCATCGAAGTGATGCTAGCAAAGCGATCGGATGCATAGATCTGCATTAAAAAAATTGGTTTTGTGTGAAAATTCGAACCTGAGTAATTTGATGTAATGCACACTAAAACTAAGCGAGAATGCCGGTCGATGTGTTAATTTGTTATGATCCCTACCACTAGGCAGGAGATTGGAGCTACGGAGGTTGAATTTTCGATAGAGTCCTACCGTTTTGCGTGCAAACCACGCGCGCGCACACCAGACGTCAATCACTGCAGCGCGTAGGTGCGAAAAAATCTCATGTTACGGTGTTTTTGTGCAATTCGAATTAACCGGCCATCACCAGCAATATCATCGATTACCAGTCACATTAAATTCCCCGTAATTGAAAAAGCTAGCACGAATGACCTTGATAGTTAGAGTGCAGATTGAAGCTGTTGTAGAGGCATGAGGCGACGAGCCGTGTAGTTGTGGTTCAGCGATTTAGTTAGCTGCTACGTCACCAGGATTAACAGACTTGAAGAGGCGATTTGACCTTGGGAAATAAAGTGTAGAAGAATTGCGTAAAACAGCGCCAGTTTTTTCGAAAAAAATTGTTTTTTAAGGGCTACTTTACGCATTAAGTTCCAGCTTTATAAGGACTAGACATAGATGCCTTAATGACCTAGAGGCGACCAATGGAAATCAAGTTGCATTAAAACCGATAGAAAAATCGATAAAATCAACCAACTGCTTAAAAAATCTGGGAAACCAGTAGCGGTATCTGATTGGAGACGGATGAATAGGAACCAGGGTGCATCATTTGACCTATTTCTAAAACGTGTGCCTTTCTGAGAACAAATTTTACAGAATTTTGTCACCGAAACAGGTGTGCACGCGTGATGGTGCAGTAATTTGTAGGAACGCTCAAGTCCAGTTCTGCGGTTTATTGAGTGAATTTTCGACCCAACTCTGCTTTAAGCCTTTAGACGTGAGAATCGGTGAAATTAAATGCCACCACGTCCTCTGTAACATATTGCTTTTCCATATTGCTTACAAACCTTGGTGTTTTTGAGTCATTATCATCATCATTAATGGAGCCACAACCATCCGAGTTCTGATTGGTTACCTGATTTGCGAATCAAATCTTTTATTGGAAAAATCAATTAACTTCATAAATTTCTGCTAATTGTGGAGCGAATAGGGACCAATCCTGAAGTATTAATACGAGCCAAGGTTCGATTCGATAAGGAGGTTTGTTTCTCAAAGCAAAAAAAAGAATCAGTAGTTATATCGTACTCTACAGAAACGTTATTTTATGTTGGTCAAATGATTACTACTGCTGTATTAAAACAAAATCCTGAAAACAGGTACTGAGTGGCCACCAATATTTGTTTTCTACACGTCAACGATGACATATAATTTGATCTGACATTTCCCTATCCGAAATCCACCTGAACATGGTAAATTTGGCATTTTGATATCAGCGTTTAAATAAACATTGAAGGTTGAATAAAACGCAAAACCTACGCATAATCAACTCTGCGAATAACAATAACGCCATACATTGGAGTTCTAATACCTTGTTCGGTTCATTTCACACACGCCAATTTGACCTTGACACAAACAATGCCTAAGAAAAACCATGGCAGTGGCCTTGAGAGAAATCCCTGAAGATTGCGCTTGGACAGGGGCTGCAGTATTTGCCAGATGTTGTTGGTAGATCATGACGAGTTTTCACTTTTCAGGCAAGCTTAATGTCATTTATGGCTGTTGATTGTACAGAAAACGGATCGTTTTAATGGATATTCCTTAACCGACCATATTATCATCATCATCATCATTGTCACCATCATCGAATACCTGCTTAACGTATGTGATAAAAGCAAGTTATTACAGCCTCAAGGTCCGCTTGCTTCAATTCCACCCTATAAAAACGTCTTGGACATTTTTTCCCAATTTCACTAGTTATTTATATTCCAGAGTTCGAAATTCGAAATAACGAATTCAGCTGTGACAGCTTTAGAGCTGTTTGTAAAACTGACCGCTTAAATATCAGTAAACCGTCGTTTTAAGTGATGTGCGTTCATGCATCCTTGTTGCCGAAAATCAATATTTCATTTAAACCGCAGTTTAATCGATATTGATTCGCGAAATTCAAAATCAGCCGCTCAGTCAAAACAGGTGACAGTTTATGTGCACGTCAGGCCAATACTTGATTTATGCCCACGTGCAGTCAGACATTTTCGAAGATAACTAAACATGCAGCAGAATTACAAAAATGTTGCCGACCAAAATTGGTACCGGATCTGTGCGCGTTTTTCGTAGCCATTCGCAGATTACTCTACGCAGTCGGTGTGTGTGTGTGTGTGCGTAAGCGGACTTTTCGCGCAATTTATAACAAATACGGCGTAAATTCCGGTTTTCAGAATAGTAGTCTTCATGCGAAGTCCATTTGTTCACTCCTAAAAGCAGGGCGACAGAAAATACTGCCAAAATCTGCCCCATAAATAATACCCTTTGCTAAACCTCGTGCTAACACGTCGTGTACCATCCTGAACCAAAAGGGCTCTGTCAGCCTGTGTGTGCGTGTGTGTGCGGGTCTTTATCGAGACAGTTGTTAGACGCCTTCTGGATCAGCATTGGCCAGTATTCACCCGGATTTATTTTAATTAAACTGCCAGCAGGCGATTTAAAATGGCTTTTTGGCCAATGAGATTGCGCGAATGAAGCATCTCATCAAGATTTTTGCATTTACCACGAAATCACTATCGTTCACTGGTTTCAGTTAAAGCTATTATTACCGAGTTTTACTATTTGTTTTACTAAAGTGTATCCTGCAAAAGCAACTGTTTGTTTAACAGTCAATTAGCATCTCAATTTTGACATAAAATCTCACAAAGGTTGGTTTAACAAATCAGTTGACGTCAGGTGAGCTGATCTGATGAGGTTCTGTTGTTTAAATTGATCCGTGTGTAGAGTTTAAACAGATTTTGGAGATTCAGTGTGGTTTGTTTTCATGACACTATCAGCCTCAGTCACTTAGGTGCAACGCTAGGCACTTGACGTAAATATTTACACACACTTGTCTCGTTATCGCAGCCTTCTGAGCCAGTATTTCGTCAGTCTGGTTTTAGTTTTTTTAGTTATTACAAAATAGTAATTTACTCCTAGTTGAAGATTTCGCATAGGAGTGGATGATTGATTTATTTGAAATTGGCCAATCATAAGCCACAAAGTGTTGGTACTTCGCACAATTTCGCCAAGCTTTTAATCCATCGGCACAATTTACATCGATGTGGTCCAATGTTTAGATTGAGGTCGCTTATTAACCTCACGAGGTTGTGTGATGTGGGGTTAAATTGTGACCTTCACCTTAACAAACGAGAGCAAGTTCGTGTTTTACAAGGGTTCTTGATGCTCGTGTCCTATTGGACGACGCTGTAAACACAGGCTCAGGCATGTGCGTGATCCAAGCAGGCCAAAAGGACGTTCGGCTCACAAGATGATGGGGTTTTGCCGCTTGCTGAACCACTAAAGTTCTTTGCTTGGCCCACAATGATTCATTACCACCCCGTTCGCAATGATTCACTGTGTCCAATTACAAAAGCAGTCGACGTTTGATTTATTTCGGCATCGAAGACGTTTGCACGCTTCCCAACCAATGCGCAGCTTCCACGTCAGAGTGCGGTTCACTTCGGCGCATTGGATGAGTAAGCAAAATTCGGCATTTCGACGATTTGCAACAGCAGCAGAGAAAGCGTCTGTCTGCCGAATTCAGCAACCAATTGCCTAAAGTAGCCTGATCTCTCACACAATGATTCATCGATTATGATTCTTGTCACGG